CCGGGATCTGGGACCCCACTGACACCCCAAACCCTGGATCTGGGACCCCAAACCCGGGATCTGAGACCCCAAACCCGGGATCTGGGACCCCAAACCCGGGATCTGGGACCCCAAACCCGGGATCTGAGACCCCCAAACCTGGGATCTGGGACCCCCAAACTCGGGATCCGAGATTCCAAACCCGGGATCTGGAACCCCCAAATCCGGGATCCCAAACCCGGGATCTGAGACCCCAAATCCGGGATCTGGGACCCCAAACTTGGGATCTGGGACCCCAAACCCGGGATCTGTGATCCCCAAACCCGGGATCTGTGATCCCACTGACACCCCAAACCCGGGATCCTATGGACACCCCAAAAGTGGGATCTGGTTTAAAAAATGAGGTTTTGGGCATTAAGATGAAGCTTTAGACCTCAAAAAGGGCATTTGGAAGTTAGAAATGAAGGTTTGTGCCACAAAAAATGAAGTTTTCAACCACAGAATCAGAGCTTTGGGCTCCAAAAGTGAAGATTTGGGACCTAAAGGTTCGGTTTGAGGATGTAAAAATGAGGTTGGGGCATAAAAATGAGGATTTGGGGCATAAAAATAAAGATTTGGGATGTGAAAATGAGGTCTGAGGACACAAAAAAAAATAGGTTTTCTGCTCTAGAGAGGGGGTTTAGAGCCCGAAAATGAGAGTTTGGACCCTCCAGACGTGCCTGGGGATTTCAAACTGAGGAAATCTGGTAAAAATGTCTGTGGGAAAGGCGGATTTGGGGGATGGGAGCAGCGCCGGGGGTTTGGGGACGCTGACCTGGCAGACACAGCAGCAGGAGCTCCGCCGCTCTCATCCTGCTGGAACGAGGGACGGGACGGAGCCGGAGGATCTGGGTGGGAACAGAGGGAATCGGAGTCAGGGGGGGATTCCAGAAAACCTCAGAAATGAAGGAATTTCCCCCGAAAGGCGTCCCGCCCCTTCCCAGGGGATTCGCAGGGACCAAGCCCTGGAATATCCCGCTGGCAGAGCAGGGAGGAGAAACGCCGGGATGTGGGATCAGTCCCGGGATGTGGGATCATTCCCGGGATCATTCCCGGGATGTGGGATCAGTCCCGGGATCGTTCCCGGGATGTCAGGATCACTCCCGGGATCCGGGATCACAGCTGGGATGGTGAGATCCTTCCCGGGATCATTCCCCGGATCATTCCTGGGATGTGGGATCACTCCCAGGATCCAGAGTCACAGCTGGGATGGTGGGATCCTTCCCGGGATCATTCCCGGGATCATTCCCGGGATGCGGCCAATCCAGACCCCCCCGGAGCAGAACTCTGGGGCTCCTTTCCCAAGGTTTCCAATTCCTTGGGAAATGAATTGTTTGGGGTGGAGGGGGGGTGCCACTGCTCGGGCATCCCCTAAATCCATGGGAACGTGGATGGAGGGATGGATGGATGGATGGATGGATGGATGGATGGATGATGGATGGATGGATGATGGATGGATGGATGATGGATGGATGGATGGATGATGGATGGATGGATGAATGGATGATGGATGGGTGATGGATGGATGATGGATGGATGATGGATGGATGGATGGATGATGGATGGATGATGGATGATGGATGGATGGATGATGGATGGATGGATGGATGATGGATGGATGATGGATGGATGGATGGATGAGGGATGGATGGATGGATGCATGCATGCATGGATGGACAGACAGACAGCTGGACACCCCCTCTGGAGCCATCCCTGCTGTCCTCCCCCGCTCCCATCCCCATCTCCAGCCCTCGCGGCTCCTCCCGAGCTCCGATTCCCTGAATTTCCCCCCAGCCTTGGCCGGAGCTCGTGGGCTTTGGCTGCGGGACGGGGACAGTCGGGTCACGTCTGCCCCGGGGGCCACGCCAGGGCTGCTCCCGACCGGGACCCCGGAGAGACCCCCACGGTGCCCCGGGGTGTCCCAGGGTGTCCCACGGTGTCCCCACGGTGTCCCCGTTCAGCCAAGGCCACCGAGGAGAGGCTGAAGCCGCCCCCGTCCCCGCCGGGAGGGCCCCGCTGTTCCCCCTTCCCTTCCCCGGGCTCCGCTCCCTCCGTGCGGGGGTCCGGCGGCTCCGACCGCGCCAGATGTTTTTGCAACTGCACATCTGGGAACAATCAACCCCGGAGAAAGAACACCACAGTCCCTTTCATTCTGCTAAACCCCACCTTCCCCCAGCCTCT